AACCCAAGCCACATACCTGAAAACGACATAATATATGTTTTTCTAATATAATTCAATTACATACTATACTAGTTTCATTGAAAATACAAAAAATCTTCATGTGGTTGGAATTTATACGAAGAAATAAAAAAAAAACTGGATTTTAATTAGTGAAATATATATTGGAAAAGTTCTCAAATGACTCGCATGAAATATCATTTAAGAATACAAAATAGAGAATAATAAATTTTATAAATATGACTGCGCTGTATTAAAAAACATGTTTTATGTGAGTTTTTTAAAAAATTTACGTCAAAATAATATGATTTAATTTAAATAATTCACAACTATATAAAATCTTAAACTATCGATTAGATTAATCGTAAGTCAATCATTAATGAATAACGATTTTGCAATTTATGTATATGTATGTAATATGTGTGTGTGTGCATGCGTGCGTGCGTGTGTACATAAATTTGTACATATACATTGTTACATTTTAATCGCCCCAGGCGAATAACTCGAGAAGAAGACGTGGGATTAAAAAAAGTTTCAGACAAACACAAAAGTTATGTGACTTCGGAGGGAGCACAAGATAGTACCATGACCTTGGGTAACGTTGTCAGAGCAAGATCACTGAATTTTTAAAATGAAATTCTCCATTTTTCATTGCATATTTTCGTAACTTATTCAAATCTTATAACTTAAAAAGTATTTAATAAAAAAATATTTTATTATAATGTTTTGAAAAATTCTCAAAATATGCTACAAGAATATGCAATGAAAAATGGGCTGTTCCATTAAAAAAATTCAAAGTGACCTTGCTATGACCTTGACATTACTCGGGGTCAAATCTATCTTGTGTCTCTCTTTAATTCACATAACTTTTGTCTAAAACTTTTTTTCAATCCCACATCTCAAATTATTCACCTGGGGTGATTGAAACAAAACATCTTGTATATCAATTTATTAACACTTGTTAAAAAATTAAATTGAAGTGTAAATTGAAATAAAATTAAAATGTTTTCATGACGTTTATTTTTTATCGGTATTTTATAAATTTATTGAAATGTTTAATTAATTTTTATTAATTAAAGAAAAATTCATAATTTATTAAAAATTAATGAATTAAAAATCTAAATCCCATATTTAAAATTAAAATCTATTCTTAATTGCTTAATCTATATTGCTTAAAAACAATCACTAAGAATTTTTGAAGTAATTTATTTCTAAATTGCAACACATTAATCAAACTCCAATATATAATAAACATAAAATCGAATATTAATGTATATATATTATATACATATGAATAATTATATATATTCACTCACGCGCACAACTCCGCTTATTAAAAATAAATTATTAAGATTGATAATAAATATTCATCAAGTTTCCTTTATATTATAAAAAAATCACAAAAAATACGCAATATGCGACGCAAATAAAATGAGTATTTAACTGGTATCCGTACATGATTAATAATAATGTCAGTATTAACAAATACTGACAATATTATTGATCATGTATGGCTAACATTGATACATTGACGTAGAATACTGATGGTAATGTGAATTTTGATTCCCGAGCATTAGGCCCTGCGCACAATAGAATAAATATTAAGAACAAGAATAAATATTAAGATTTCAACCTATTAGATAAATCGGAATACACAGTTTCTAGTAGATTGAAATTTTAATATTTATTCCTATTCCTAATATTTTCTCCATTGTGCGCAGGGCCTTAGTATCGCTGTGTAGTGGGGATATTGATAGTAATACTAAGTGTGTGAAGAGGGCGCGTCAGTATTTTCGTCAGTCTAATTCATAATCAAAGTTGGGCATGTGTTAAACATAACATGTATTATACATGTTTTTTATACCATATATATAATACCGTATGTTACACGTACGTTTTATACGTATTATATGTAAGAAACTACTCGCAGCTCTAAATTGTCCAATCCTGTCCGTAATCATGGACAAAATAACCTTGAAAAGTAGATACACTAAACCATCATTTACGTTCATTCTTTTTTTGTAAATAATGCTAATATTATAGTAATATATGCTTTTTCTTTATTAAGATTCATGTTACAGTATGTCACAGTACATTAGATAACGCAAAACTAAAGTAAAATATTGCCGATAATACTGCTGATAATACCGATCGTGCAAGATTGTAAAAATATTGATACACAGTCAGTATTAGTACTGATTTAATATTACTGATCAGTATTATTGACTGTGTAGGATCGCCTTAAGGGGATATTGTTCTGCAATATCGATGAAACGAAATATTTCGTACTTTTCCATTTTTTCATTTTTCTTATACAGAAATTAAGAATAAAAGAAAAGAACTATACAAAAAGCTACAGGAAACTACAAATCTAAATGAAAAAATATGTATAAATTACAGATTCCTGCTACCATAGATCATACAATGATACATAGATCATTTCTTTACATAAATACGTGATAT